TGGCCATAAAACTCATTTTCATGGTACACTTGTCTCAGAGGAAATTATTAGCCCATCAAACACTGATTAGAAAACAATTATCTAAATAAATCTAGGCAATAATCTTTACTAACTCTCATATAACTAAATTTGCTGGGATAGGTAAGAGAACCTAGGAATAAGTTAGACCCTATTCTCCTAACAAACAGATCTTCAGGTAATTGTGGAAACAGCAACAAAGTGGCATTCTTACTCCTATAAATGGACTCCTGAAAACACTTTGATGAAATAAAGTCTCATTAAAGCTTATGTCACCTACAAGTTTCTCACAGCATGCTAGTGCAAATTTATTAGCTCAGAAAGGACAACGGATCTGCCACCCCTGGCAAAAAGAGGACTTGTTGTTCTGAGTAATGAGGAAGTAAGAAACTAACACTGAGCACCTAACAGTAAGCGGGTCAGATCGTTTGCAGTGACTCTCTGATATACACTGTATTTTTACACATGAAGAAACTGAAGATCAGCTACTCTGAGGGTTCAGATCCAAATAGTGAGTACAAAACACCGTTCCCACTAGACTATGTTTCAAATTCCTTCTAACTCCTTTAAAGATTTACTTAATTGTACCCCATTGTGACTAAAACCTCATTCCGTTGTGTACTTCTTACCAAGCAGAATAGAGCCTCCCAATTTTTTCTCTGTCACAGCACTTTGTAATATTGTCCTAGATACTGGGGGAAATGGATAAAGCAGCCTGTGGGCAGGCCATGCACAGCCCCTCCAAGCGGAAGGAGATGAGGACACTAGCACAAGTGCTGAGCTCATCAGCTGAGAAGCTCTAATATGAAACAGTACAAACAAAAAAATTCAACTTGTTAGCTGTTTCCCTGCCACTGCCTGTTTAAGTCCTTAAAAATAAATACCAACATGAAACAAAAACCACATGCAACATTACTACTGAAGGAAAAAAACAAAACAAGAAGTTCAAACCATTTGAACAGGAGAAGGTGATACAGGAGAAACTAAGGGATCCGGATGGGGCAGTTGAAACATCTCAGGTTTAAACTTGGCATTCGCTATCTTCACACATTCCTCGAGCGTTGTGATGAACGTGTTACACGTGGCACTAAGCAGAGAAGAGGCTTCATTCATGTTCTGAAAAATTACACAAAGACTTGAACAGATTTGCATACAACGACATGGAATCATATACAACCTTATCACTAAATAAAAAGACATCTCCAACAGACCCATTACTATGTTCAAATTTATTTAAAATACAGTACCTTAGAAAATTAAGCTGGGGCAAAAAAAAAAGAAGAAAATTTAAAAATCTATGAATAAGAAATGCCTGTCTCCTAAACAATGTATGAAACTAGATTCTAAGAAAAACTAAGTTTTGCATTGAATTATCATATTGAAAAATCGTGTACAAAAATTTATCTTAGAGAAATCTAACCTAAACAGTAATTTTCATTTTCCCAAAAGTGGTCACAGACATGGAATACCCTTAGAATTACTTAGTGGCAGTACAATTCATGTCTACCCTCTATCTGTTCTCCCACTTCTTCCTTGACAGAGTAAAAACCCCAATTTTGTTCAGGATCGCAAAGTGCCCTGATCCTGGGGGATGAATAGAGACTGATCTAAGCTAGTCATGGCTATTCCAAGACTCTTTACCAAATGCTCATTTTTTTCCTGGTTTCCCTTGAGCCAGAAAAAAACAAAGATGAGAAGTCTGCTGGAGAATTTCTGGGATTTTTGTTCCCTGATTCAAAACCAAGCACAGCAAGTTGAGAAGGACTCTCTCCACCCTGGCAACCGCACTGCCTCCTGCCTCTTTGTGAGCTTGACAGTCATCTTGACACCTGGGGCATTAGGAGAAAAACTCAACACATCAAGAATGGCAGAGTGGAAAATGCAACAAGCCTGAGTCCCTAATACTGTCACCGAGCTGCTGTAGCAAGTGTGAGAGCACCCACCTCCAGGGAGCTTGTGGTCAGTTTGTCCTTGCACTTCTTACACAAGATTCCTCTCCAACAGAAGAAAGTCACAGAAGAAGAAGGAAGATTTCTTGCTGCACTTCTATCAAGTTAGGCAAAAAGGGACAGGCAACATGCTGGCCTTTCACCCAGAGAGTGGTATAGCTCACCGGTCCTATTTTACCATAAAGAATGAGCCTATTATAGCCCGATCCTAGTAATCTGAGTTTTGATTCCTAAGTCACTGTTCTGAGAAGGATTTGTTTTAAGTTATTCCATAAAGATAAGTTATCAACTCTCACAGTTGAAGCAGGGACCTTATTACCAAAAAAAGAGAATAGCAGCTGGCCAGTGAATTTATGCCGCTAGCCTAGAGAACAAAGCCTGGAATGCTTCTTCCCCACTCCAGCCTCCAAATTATTAGAGTGGCTGCAAAGACAAGCCTTGATCCCCGGAGAAATATGCTACTTCATGTTCTTCTCTGGCCACACAGACAAAACCGAGAAGATGCTACAGATTTCCAGATAGTCTACAGTAGGCAGAACCCAGAAAAGCTGAAAATAACTCAATGTGAAAATGCCTATCATCTTATGGAATGACTGAGGATCTCCCCAGAGCACTCCAAAGCATAACCGCACATGAAGAGATCCTCTTTGCTCTACCTCTGCACTAGGAGATGAATGATTCTCATCATGGTGAACAAATTCCTGTATCGTATGAACTTGCTGCATTAAGAGGTCACAGTAGAGGCGAAGTTCAGACATTTTGGTTTTCAGCGATTCACTGGTTTCACTTATTTCTGAAAAGAACATATATAAATATCCAGTTAGATCATTTTCATATTCTTTGGGCAATGCAACAAAATGTAATCATTTAAAAAAGCAATGAATATAAATACCTATAGCTCAAGAAATGTGAGAACTTGGGAATAGGATACCAGAGCCCTAAGGAAACATCTTCTCTTTAGATAATTGGGAAAAAGCTGACAGTTACATGCCTGCCACATTTAGGTGATTTCCAGAGATAGGATGATGACCACTGGATATTTTATACAGGATATTTCCATTCCATTACTCATCTTCCATTTAAATAGTGCTTAGTTTTCTTTTGTGAGTTGCTTTTTTATTTTGTCCTTTATACATTTTTTTCCAGCTCTGATGTTGATTTTTCTCTTAGCAATATAAACTGATAGTTTGTAAAAGTTCTTACAAATTAAAGATAGTAATCTTTCCTCTATCTTATATACTGCAAATACCTTATCCAGATCTGTTAGCTTCCTTTCAGTTCTCTTTATTTTGGCTTACAGAAGTTTTAAATTTTTATGTAATTAAAACTATTATATATAAACATTCATTTATTTTCTTCTGATCCTTTCAGTTTCATTTTCACATTATACTATTTTCAACATTTTTTATTAAGAGCATACTTTCTTCCTTAGTATCTCCAGACAAACTAAACATCCAGCCATAATCTCAGCCACTCACAAGCCAATACCTTTTAAACTAGAAGTATAAGCTACATAGGAGAAAAATTCGTAGAGTAAATTTCTGGTGATTCTCCACACTCCCTGGGCCAGGTCCCAGTGGCCTTGCTCTCTGATCCTAGCCACAAAGCCACTTTTGCCAGAGTGGACAAAGTAGCTCTATCTGTCCATTTAATCTAACCTAAATAAATTCCTGCTCACATTTAAGCCTGTTCTTTCTCCTTTAAAAAAAAAAAAAAAAAAACTGTGGTAAAATATGCATAAACATAACATTTACTATTTTAACCACTTTTAAGTATTCATTTCAAAATGTGGCATTAAGTACATTTGTATTTGTAAAATCATTACCACCATCCATCTCCAGAACATCTTCATCTTCCCCAGCTGAAGGCCTGTACCCACTAAACATTAACCCTATTTCCACCTCCCCCCGGGCCCTGGGAACCAACATTCTATTTTCTGTCTGTATAAATTTGACTGCCCTGGGTATTTCATATAAGTGGAATCATAGACTATATGTCTTTCTGTGATTAGCTTATTTCACTTACTGTAATGTCTATAAGGTTCATCCACAGTGTAGCATGTGTCACATTTCCCTTCCTTTCTAAGGCTGAGTAACATTCTATCATGTATTTTGTTTATCCATTCATCTACCAATGAACATTTGGGTTATTTCCATCTTTTAGCTATTGTGAATATCCATTCCTTCTTATCCTACCTGTAGCCATATTCTGTAATGTTTTCATATATTTCAAAATTGTTATAAATTCAATCCTCAGCCTTCATTTCTCAATACCTGTAATTTACCTGCTTTCACTAATGTAATGTGTATTTAATTATAAAAGTAACACATACTTAATAAAAAATTTTGAAAAATATAAAAAATATAGAAAAGAAAAATCAAACAACTGTACTACGGTTCGAATATGGTTAGTTTCCAGCAAAATTCATGTTGAGGCTAGGTCCCCAGTGTGGCAGTGTTAGGAAAGTAGTACCTCTAAGAAGTGTTTAGGTCATTAAAGAGGTTTCATACCTTCCTCAAAGGAGTGAGTGAGTTCTCAACCTCTTGGAACTACATTATGGGAAATACAGTTATAGTTACTATGAGAGCAGGTTGTTATAAATTGAGGCTGCCTCTTGTGTTTGATCTTTTCTGCACACGCCCGCATTCCCTTGCTTCCTCCACCATGCTATGATGCAGCATGAGGCCCTCACCAGAAGCCAACTAGATACAGCTGCCCAATCTTGAACTTCCAGCCTCTAGGGCCATGAGTCATACCTCTTTTCTTTAGAAATTACACAGTCTCAAGTACTGTGTCAAAGCAACAGAAAATGAACTAAGACAAACTATAATCTCACTATCAAGAAATTGTCATTTTCACATTATATCTGTATATAGTTGAACTGATAACATAAATCATTTGCTTTGCTTTCAGTTTCTAAAAATCTTTTTGAATTGGCAATATGCATACATGGTAAAGTCAAAAGATACCAAAGGGTATACAGCGACAAGTGAGTCTCCTTCCCACAAATTCCACTTCCAAAGGTAACAATCTGACCAATTCTTACATACCTTTCCTAAGCCAGCCAATGAATACTAACACTATATATAATTATGAATCCTGCTTTTTTCAATGATCATTTAACCTTGGGCATTTTCTCACACTGAAATTCGTTTTAAACATCTTACTATCTATATATCAGCCAATGAAAGCACGAGTTTAGGCTGGGCGCAGTGGCTCACGCCTATAATCCCAACACTTTGGGAGGCCAAGGCGGGCGGATCACCTGACGTCAGGAATTCAAGACTAGCTTGGCCAGCATACAAAATTACAAAAATACAAAAATTAGCCAGGCATGGTAGCAAGTGCCTGTAATCCCAGCTACTTGGCAAGCTGAGGCTGGAGAATCGCTTGAACCTGGGAGGCAGAGGTTGCAGTGAGCCAAGAAAGCGCCATTGCACTCCAGCCTGGGCAACAGAACGTGGCTCCATTTAAAAACAAAAAAAAACAAAAAAACAAGAAAGAAAAAGTTTATTGAGACATTCCCCTAAATTTATAGCTTTTATAAAATGTTTACTATAATAAAGATACATGTAAATCTACATTTCTAATTATTTCCTTGGGATAGATACTAAAAGTGAACAGGCTATTTTATTTATATTTATATTTATATTTAAGAAAGTACTCTCACCACAAGGGAAAAGTTTATAGTTACCTTTTTCTTTTTTAGTCCTTGTGTCAGTCAAACATGCTTTGGAGCTCCCCAGAGCGACCAGCCACCTCTGTCTTTCAGCTGCATTCACTGCCTTCATGTAGAAATGCTGCTCTCCGGGAATGATTAATTCCATTCTTGTGTTGTCTGCTGAATGAACTATGATGAAAAACAAAGAGGAAATACAGTTACAGACTTAAGTAATTTAAGGGGAATCAAATAATCATCTAATCACACAGTATCAGATGCTTCATACACCTAAAACAATGAACTATCATTCATGATGCGGCCAGTGCATCAGTGGCACTCCCCAAACCAACATTCTCATATAGACCCAGGGTGATAATGGTGCCAAAGCGATGACAGAGTATGAAAAAGAAAACAGGGACATACTAACTACTGAGAAGTGAGACCCCCCTCACCCACCTTGGGGCCACTTATCATATTAAATACAACTGCAATGAATGTTACACTATCACACATTTTTTACTGATTTCCTTGAAAGTAAAGTCTTTGTTTTCATATCCCCCAAGGCTAGGATAGTGCCTGACACATAGAAGGAATGTAATAAATGACAACTACAGCCACCATCTATCCGAAGAGTAACTCTATGATATGCCCTTAATTATGGATCATAGCATAACACATGGAAGCCATGTATATTTTGAAGACATTCATCTCTTTGCTTCTTTCTACCTCTTCTCCTACAACACACACGCACCTCCTTTGATGCTCTGAGAAAAGAAAGCTAATCAGGAATTATGATGAGCCAATCCCAAGTCTTTGTTGTAAAACAAAATTTGTGTTAAGCTGTCATTCATCAATAAATATTTACTCAGCTCAGAGCAGTGCTAGTAGAAGGCAAGATAGAGGGGGAAAAAAAAGATGTCTTTGCTTCTATACAGTTGACTATTTAACCAAGATACAAACGGACACACCAAAAACAATCAGAATACGTATATGTTTAACTCTTTGGTGCAGAGATTTCTTGTGTAATTATGAGAGAAAGTAATTTAAGACAGGAAATTTAAAAGGCTTCAAGAAGAAGGATTTGATGAAAGCAGGATTTGGTTAAGAAAATGAATGAGAAAAAGCTTAAATGAGAAAATAAACACAGAATGTACTGAGAATATTAGGAAACAAGCAAATAGAGGCTTCCATTGTAGTGCAAAGTAATATTGATATTTGTTTAGCCAGCGCAGTGGTGCAAGCATGCACTCCCAGCACCTGTAGACCCAGCAACTTGGGAGGGAGAAGGCTGAGGCAAGAGGATCACTGGAGCCCAGTACAGGCTGTGGTGAGCTACAATCACACCACTGCACTCCAGACTGGGTGACAGAGCAAGACCCTGTCTCAAAAAAAAAAAAAAAAGGAAAAGAAAAGAAAAGAAAAAAGGCCGGGCCGTGGCTCACGCCTGTAATCCCAGCACTTTGGGAGGCCGAGGCGGGCGGATCA